GTAGTAGTACTAGTAGTAGTAGTAGTAGTAGTAGTAGGTAGTAGTAGTTGTTGTTGTTGTTGTTGTTGTTGTTGTTGTTGTAGAAACGACAACAACAACAACAACAACTACTACTACTACTGCTACTACTACCACTAGTACAACAACAACAACAACAACAAGTACTACTACTACTACTACTACTACTACTACTACTACTTTTACTACTACCTACTACTACTACTACTACTACTACTACGACGACCACTACTACTACTACTACTACGACGACTACTACGACGACGACGACTACGACGACTACGACTACTACGACGACGACGACTACTACTACTACTACTACTCCGACTTCCACTGCTTCCAATACTTGTCAAGTATTCCGGAACAGTGAGAGATGGGGAGACCAGGCCCTCTCGCAAGCGTTTCTTTTGCACTTCGGGCCGACAGTGGTCAGTCCATGCCCCCGAAAGTGGGAGGTGCTGCCGCGGTGCGGGCCGTTTCTCGTGTCGCTCGCCGCGAGGAGCCCTTGCCCGATCGCTTTGTCACCCAGGAACTACAAGTTCCGATGGGTTTTCAAGCTCCCGTGCCGCATGGCCTGGCAGGCTGCAGAGATATGTAGCAACGACACACAGCCAAGCTTTTGTGAGGACCGCGACGTGCTGGCTTCGCTGCTTGCATGTCTGAGGGCCCGGTGCTCGGGGTCGGGACCTGATCCCCAAGACAAACACGAGGAGAGTCGGAATTCCTCCGGCTGGAACCAAGATCCCGGATGGTACGAAGCCCTTCTATTCTGGAACAAGTTACTTGAGGATTCCTCCTTCGGCGGCGCCGCCATGGCTGAGACACTCGGGCGCACAAAGAAGTAGACAGCAAGGTGTGGCAGCGCAATAAACCCTAAACCCTGAACCCTGAACCCTGAACCCTAAACCCCAAACCAATACAGCAGAGCTGTTCAAAGAAGTAGATGTGGCATAGCTTAGGATGGGCCCTGCTCTTCGATGCCTCGTTGCTCCTGGTGATCCCGTGCTTGCCCCGGACCACTGTCATAGTCATATGGGGGTTTCCGAAAATAGGGGGACCCCAATATAGTCCCCTAAATAGTAGGATCCTTATTATAAGGACCCCAAAATGAGGTACCCCAATTTCGGAAACTCCCATATTGGAGTTCTGCTGACCATGGCAAACCTGGCTGGAGCCATGAGCGCATCTCTCCTGGCTGGTTCTGCAAGCTACTACACCTGCCCATGTTAACACCAGTGCTATCTCGCGTCCCCTTTGGCCGAGGAAGTTGTGGACCACATCACGGGATTGCTGTCAAACGCAGCCTTCGCTGTGCGCCATGCGGCATTGCAGGCCATGCATCCCATTGCAACTGTGTGACTGCATAGGGTCATGAGGGTGTTGGCTGTCTCGGCGCAGTTCTGGACGTCGTCGATAGGACTGCAAATGAACTAATTCCAAGTTACAATATTCCACTAGAAATGACCATAGAATTACCACTATAAGTGACCTATAATCCGTTCATAAAATTTCAGTACAAGCTGATGCAGTGGCAGGCTTTCCTAAGCAGTCCAAAGGCTGCCGCCGCACCCCAACATCCCCTGTTGCTGGATAGTAAAGTAGTGCGGATCGTGCGCACAAGGTCGGTGTAGCAATTCCAGGAGCCCTACGTCTGACACAGCCGCTGGTATGAAACGGTCCGTCAACCTCTTGTAATTTAGGTTCAGACTCGCTATCAAGTCCCGGTCCTCTTCTGCGTTTTGCTACATGTACAGCAAGTGCCAGAAGCTCTGCTGCCAACTGTAGCTTCATGAGCGTACGTCTCATTGCTTGGTCCGGATGCATAAGAATCTCATGCGCCTGCCTCCTGACTCACTCAAGAAGCTCATCCGCTTCTGTTCGGGCACGTGCCGAGTGAAGGTCAATGTGGCGACAAATTTCATGGGGTGCGCGGGTTGGAAGGATCTAAGAAGATTGCCTCTGGATTCCAATCCTTGAGTTGTGGTTCTTGCCTTTGCTTCATTCATCTCAGAATCTGGAGGCTTTGCCCCATGTGGTGGCCAAAGGCGATGCACATGCCATTGACACGATTCTGGCACGAGCGGATGACAAGGACACTTATGGTGAGTCCGAAACCTTTGGAGATTGTCCTTGCATCTTGCACGGCAGCCCATAGCGACGTCGTGCCAGTGTAAGCCGACAGGACGTCGAGATTCGTGAGGAGGCCATCCGCGCACTGGCCCACGTTGCCAGCGAAGGTGCGGAAGCCCAACTGACTGCTCCCACTCTCCAAGTCCTTATTTGTGCAAAGAATGTCTGTCTAGCAGTTGATGAGTGGACCCCATGCCTGGACAGTATCGTAGCTTGAATTGGCTACCGCTGCGCTTGTCCAAAGTGTACATCTGTTGAGCCATGTCGAGCCTCTTTGCTTCAGGGATGAGCGCAAGCACGGCAAGCACCACGACACTGAACCATATTTTCCCGTCAGCCTTGCCTGGCAAGCCCTGATCTTCCACTATGGCCTCCCGCCTGTGGGCAAAACTTCTCGCTTGCCAGATGACCATCGAGCCCTGAACTATGTGATCCGCGGCCTGCGCCACTTGGCAGTGCATGCAGGAATACAGATGAGATGCACTCAGCAGCTGCGCTGGAGGTCACGGCAGAGACGGGCGATGCCTAGCAGGGCAATGTAGCAGCCAGTGCATGTTTTGTTGAGTGACGCGCTCTGTTAATGAGCAGCTGGGTGTTGCAGCAATCGATTATGCTTACGGCATTTTCAACATTTGATTGCGGCCGTATTAACTTGGATAGCTTCCTCCCAATGTATCTGCGATGCTAGCATGATGATGAAACAGAGTAAAGTGTAAAGAGAAGGGTGACTATCACGATGCCATCGATGCCGGGTGGACGACAATGGTGCGGCTGCTAGTGCTGCTGCTCGGCTTTTGCTATCGGCAGTGTTGATGCTGATGCTGGTGCTGCTGCTGTTGATGATGATGATGGAGATATTTTTGTTGCATTTTTGTTCGACAATCCTTGATCGAACCCTCGCGGAGCCTCAGAGCCTACGGTGGTTTGGCTACAGCCACTGTAATTCGTCATGCACATGTCCAATGTAGAAGCTGCAAACTCCCAAGAAACCAACACGAGGCGATGAGTCCATCTATGTGCGCCGCGCTGCCTTGGAGGTCCCCATTGCTCACCCGGGACCCCCCGGGCCAGCGTCTGGAACAGGGTTCCATGTGTTGAACGTGTCGGGTTGCAACACTGTATGCTGAATGAATCGGAAGCCCTGGATGCCGCAGCACCCGGAGATGTAAGCCCCTCCTAAACCCTCAAGCCCCCTACCCCACCCTTAATTAGTCCATGCTCCCTAAACCCTATAAGTGGAGTCGTAAGCAGGGCAACTATAGTCATAACTCCCATGTTGGGGGACGTATAACCCCACTTATGACTACCCATTGTTCACCCCTCAAGCCCGTCAAGGCCCAAGCCCCAAAGTCTCGACGAGCTCCGGTGAGTCGCAGGTGCTACCTCTCTCCGCGTGAAGGGCCGACGCGGGCCGATGGCAATCTCCGAGGTTTCGAGAAGATCAGCGGAAAGTAGTACTCTAAGCCCACCATGAGATCTACCATATTATTTAGTGACCTATTTAGTAGTATGGTTCTTAAGTTGTTAGTTTGATGTTGCAACTTTCGAGTCTGAACGCACGCTTGAGCACGAGCGCCATCCACGCGACAAAGTGGTACTTGTAACCCTCACATCCCTCACGCGGCATCGCGGGTCTCCAGGGACCGGGCGTGAGCGGGAGTCCGGAAAGAACGTGAGGCGGTGATGTCTCGGAATCTGCTATGGGGCAAAGATGCGCGAAGCATCCGGTCCCGAAGACCGCCAGTGCATGGGGGTAGCATGTTGGCCGTGCCTGTGACTCCCGCCAGTCTCCTGGTGCTCTGATGAGCCGTGGTCCTGGCGGTGCTGGTGGTCGTGGTGCACGTGGTGGGCTGGGTCGTCGCATGCTGTATCACGTTTTGGGATCTACGCTGGCATCATGTTGTGGTTCGGGTTGTGGGACGGCAGTGCGGGCGGGGGCTGCCTTCAGAGACCATGGCTCCGACCCCAGATCGGTGACCTGATACTGTAGCCTGCTACACGGCATACAATCCGCTCACCTGGTTCAAACAGCGACATATCTGTTGCTAGGCCTTGCTACGGATGCGGGCAGCAACTGTGGCCTCGCCCATCCTTCCAAACTGCTGCCTGCTCTGGCTGACTGCTACCTCCTCCTGCGCATTCTTGAAAGCTAGAGTGGTGCATATTTCATATTTGTCAAAGGCTCTTGTATCTGGCAGCCTAGGGCCCAGGTTGTTGTCTGTGCCGCCTCTTGACGGCGATTGCATCAAGTACACTCCTGAAGCAAGATGCGCGGGAAAGTAGCCTCAGGGCTAATGGAGCAGCATGTCACGAGCTGTAGCTGGCCTCAGCAGCATGAGAAACCTCGACGATCGTTTCGAGGACAGTTTTTGGACATGGCAATTGCAACTAATTGCATGCATGTCGGCTGTGCATTGCTTTGAGTCGGCAAAGCCCCAAAGAGAACTGAGTCGGAAATTCGAGCGAAGAGCTTCCGTGATTGCTGCAAGTTCCTGGTGCTTCGGCTTTGCGGTACTGGCAAAACGGCGGCTTGCAGTTCACGACTGCCTTACATGGGGCCTTCCGACAGCCTTCCGAAACCAGTAAGCCACATCCAGCGACAACCGAGTCCAAAGATTGGATTTGCACGGAGTCCTCGCTGTGGAAGGTGGAAGGAACCTTGTAATCTTCGCCTATGCACTGCCTCCTATTCCACGAGTCCTGTTCCTCTTGTAGCCGTCTCTGATGTCGTGCACTTGCAACTGTCGTGTAGTCCACCTCGTTTTCATGAGCTAAAACTTACTCTATGTTTGTGGACTTGTACCAGCATGCGCATGATGCACCTATGATGCAAACGCCCTCGGTGCATGTAGGTGTCAAATTTTATCTTGACTACTTAGCTGAGGCAGCCAAGGTGGCATGGTGGACAGTCAACCTGGAGCCTAAACCGATTGAACAGTCATCTTCCCGACGGCACAAGCGGAAAGCTCGGAAGTTGCATTGGGCTCGAGTGATGGCTTCTCTGCTCTTGAGGTTACTGTCAGCGCATCCTCGAGAAACATTATCTTGGAATGGTGTGTGCGCATATTTTGGAGACCGCTTGAATCCGGTGCTAGTGAGCTATGTGGTGGCTACCATATGCACTTCCTGTAGGTTGCATCGGTGGGCCCACATGTACAAAAAAGCGCTGCTCCTCATGCCTTGCGGGACTCTGTGCTATGGCACATTCATGCAAGAAGTAAGTACCAAGTTATTGCGCTTAACTGCAGGGCACAGTTTCCGAGATGTGTTCTCAGCCTCAGCTGATGGAGGACAGGAGTGGGAGCAGTCGATGGAACTGGCTGCTCGTATGTGACTCGTCAGAAGTTACTGCTGGATACTGTTTTTTGTTCCTGAACTGATTTTGATCTACATGTTTGCCAGGTCACTACTTGGTGTGGGTCTGGACGGCTACAGCCAGGGTGCGCTTCTGATGGCGCGACCCGGAGTTGGTCGAGTTGGTGGGGATGAACAGTCTGGGATGAAGGAGGGATTACTTGTTTGATGCAGGCCTGCGCGAAAGGGCTGCGCTGGACGCTGGCATTGCGCCTGCTGTGGCCAAGCAGAATTTGGAGCTCCGTAATTTGCTTTCGGCTGCGGCCCTCAATCCTACGTCGAAAACCTTAAGGTCTGGATGGATCCAAACAGCCCTACGGAGCACGTAAATCTTTGAGACTGAGGTCAAGCAGGGAGTTGCTGGGCGGCTCAGGAGGCCTTGTTTGCTGCAGCGCGCTGCACTTAGCCCTGAGACTTGCTAGTCTTCCCTGCAAGAGGACGCGAGCATTCTTTCCTCTCAGGCTCCCCGCCCTGCTGTCCCCAACAGATTGCAGCATTCGGAGTGATGCGTTTAGGGCTAAGTGGGTGCTGCACGGTGCTGCAAGGCTGCGGGTAGGCATGCTACAGTGAAACTTGATGTCAGCTTCCTCAGCAATCACGTAGCATAGCCATGTGTAGCCCTCATACTCAGCAATGCTCAGGCTGTCCTCAGCGCTTGCGACCGCAGTCTTCAGCAGCACGGCAGCAAGTGCAGCTTTTAGTTTGCAGTTCTGTGGCTTCTCCAGGAGGGGTTGCTGGTTTTCTTGTTTCCCTTCTCTTGCCAGCCAGTCTTGTACTCCTGGGCCCTTTGCACCTTCACACAAGCCCCCGAAGCCCCAAAATCCGTAAACCCCCATGTTGGTGCGGCTGAGGTGGGCGTCGGCTTTGGGATTGCCGCGACCCTGGCGAGAAAGTCCTCAATTCGTTTCTGATCAAACACACAGACGGCCGGACGAACGGACGGAGAGAGACAGAGAGAGTGATGCGCGCGGGTGAGGGGGGCTTGCCCCNNNNTATATATATATATATATTCTGCATATATATATATATATATTTATGTAAGGATGGATGGTGAAGATAGCCTCTAAACTTAACCTTAAACCCTTAATCCTTCCGCTATCTTAGACAACGAGTGCTCGCCGAGATCTGAGGCTCTTGGCGGCCGGTTCCGAAGGGCTGCGTGCAGACGGCCAGGCCCAAGAATTAGGAACCCAAAAAGCACATAAGCATAAGCATTTTATAGGGATATCCCTACCTTATTGGGCTTCATTATAAGGGGGGGGGCCCTAAAGAAAAGAAGCAAGAGCCAGATCCGGAGCAAGAGCACATCCCCTCAAAAGTGGCAGTAGAGATAACAATACCCCCTAAATAATGAAAACGCTTTCCGAGTTTTCATTGGGGGGGTGGGGGCGGGGCTGGGGGGGCCAGGGGGGGGCGTTCAATATTAGGGGGAAACGATTAATGCATAGTTATAGTAGCAGCGAAAGGAAGAACACGAAGAAGACCGTGTAGACAAAGCCGAAGTCGTGCGTTGGTGAAAGCTGTCATGTTGTTCCATCCTGCACAGACGCATACTCTTTGTCATTCACCTTTACTGCGAAGTCTCTTCACAGGCCTTGCCAGCAACCGAAAGGTGCTTTTGTACAGACATTGCTTGCCGGGCTTTGGGGCATTTGGGGCCGACTGTGGTGGTCCCCAGTGGGAGCGCAGTCGCAGCAATGACTTAGGCCTGGAGCATCCGCGGGAGCTCTTAGATCATAATATATAATACATTACAATACTTTGTAGTATATTATATTGTATTACAATACGTTTTCAATACATTCCAGTAGAAAATGATATATCATAGCACATTATAGTACACTAGCGTATGTTATAGTACATTATGCTAAGTTATAGTATGCTTATGCACAGAATAGTACCACGGTTGATAGAGACACCGTCCCTGAGTCCACTCTGGTATATGATGCTACATCAGTCTGGGCTCCCCTGAAGGCCCCAAAACCCTAAACCCAAAACCCTATGGGTAGTTGTCAAAATTATGGTCCCTTTTGGGGTACCCTAAATAATAGGTGCCGTATTATAATAAGGACCCCAAAAGGGACCATAATTTTGACAACACCCCTATAAACCCTAAACGAGGCCCTGATGCCCATGCTCAGCGTCCTGGGCGCCAAGGGTCTTTGGCGCAAGGCCGGGTCTTCGCGGGGAGTCTTTAGATCCGCTCGAGAGATGCCGTATAATGTACGATAATATGGGTGGTTCTCTAGATTAGGGTACCTTGTAGGGTTCCTTTTTATAAGAGTGCCGTACTATATTGGGGACCTAAAAACTGGCTGGTGCTCAGTCGGGAATGAGGGAATGAGTTGTATGGGGCATTCTTAGTTTGATTGACCTGAAAGATTGAACTTTGAAATGTTCATGATGCACTTTAAACGGACCCCGATTTAGAGAAGTCCCCACATACTAGAAAGTACGATAATATACTACACTATTGTACTACAATAGACTATAACACGCTATAGTGATTGAACCTATTCAAATATACAATATTATACTACAATGCACTATATACCATCATGTTAGCCCCACAAGGATTGCGGAAGCAACGCCCAACATGCTCTGGCAATGATTGATGATCGGGGACGGTTATCCGCATGGCTCGTCTCCAAGACAAGGAGCTTCTGCCCTTGAGTTTGGGAGACTGCCACGATGTGGCTCGTGAATCAGCAAAGGTGGCTACGGAAACGAGGACTCCTCTCCCGAAAGGTCCGAGACCGAGAAGCCGCGTGTCGACGGCAAGGTACAAGCTTGCCGAGCCCTCTACGATATCGGAGAGAAGATCCTCTGTCTGGTCATAGAAGTCAAGGCGAGAACTGAGTTCGTTGTCGTCACTGCGGACAGCAATTGGGATGGTTTGTGAGCCGTGGGTCCTATCCCAAATGCCTAGCCTTTAATCACATTAAGATCATTAAGAGCCTCAACTACGACTTTCGCCGGCACTGATTGTTCCGGCCCTTCGAATTGGAGCCAAGACGGTTACTGCCGGCGAAAGCGGTCGTTGACGCTGCAGGCAAGGTTACGGAGGCGGACAAGCCGGTCAGAAGCTTCCGGCGGCGGGCGGAACGGAGCTTTCGTACATCGCCGCCGCAAATCCCATTCATTCATTTGTTCATTCCTTCAGACTCCTGATAAATCTGATAACTTCGAAGCGCTCGGCCCTTGACTAGAATCATCCACACAACTTCCATATAAATTGGACACTCAACCGACACATCACATGACGCAGCTTATTCGCCATCGTAGCTTGCAGCCTTTCCTTGCTTGCCTTGCTGTATATCTCTTTCTGCCTATGTGTTCGTTTTACAGTTCTACGAATGAGTCAGCTCTTGAGTTCTGTGATATCCGGCTTTGCTTCGCATTGCATTCCTGGCTGCAAGCCATAATCTGCTCCCGATCCACATATCCTAGATGACCTCTATGAATCCCAAGTGTGGCTATCGAGGCCGCTCTAGGTCCTCATCATACATATAGGTTCCCCATCATATTCCGCACGATGCCTCTTGTTGACATCCCGACTGCGCCGCTTCTTTTTCAACCCTCCGCCATATTTCAACAGGGCTCCCCAGTATATGATAAGCAGGCCAAGAAGTCGAATCCCGAAACCACCCCCTACAGTAGCCTGGCTGGAGCCCCACACCAAACTCCAGACTTGTAAGGCTCCTCAGGCTTGGACGCTGAAGCCTCAAACCTCCGAACCCCGCGGATGGCCAGACGAGGCAATGGCTCTGCGGACCAGCTGCGCCGTGACAATGATCCGCGAGAGTGAAGAATCGACCAAGGCCGGTGAGCGTGGGAACTCATCTCATGAACCAATCAACAGTAGACGTCAGACTGGTAACCTTGCTGTCCTAAGGATGATGTTGGCAATACAAGACTGGCATGAGACTAACACTACTAGTCTAATAATGGTCATATTTTATGCTAAATACTGTGTTTTGGTCTGTTTTGCACAGACATAGACGTTACTCTGTGCATGCAGGGCTTGCTGACAGTACAGTACTACAAAGACTCAGACGTCGGGTTGGGAGCTCCGAAATGGAAATCTTGGCTTACAGGGAGGGCAGCCGCACACCCAGCTTTGGGACCTCAATGCTTCCAACCCTTCTGTTGACTACACGGCACCATTCCTCCTTTGGGTGTATTTGTCTCGGTATTTAGGTTGTCGGAAGATCCTCGAGATTGGGGTGCATTGGCGAGCGGATGCGCATGGACGCCCAGCACAAGAAAGATTCCCTCGCATCGGACGCCCAAGTCTCCAACATCCCAGATTTGAACATTCCATCATCACAACTCCTGCATGGGTCGACGTGTTTGGATTTCTATCCCCATTATCTCTTGAAAGCACCAATGCTGACGGAGTAGACCACAGCTCCCACGTAATGAACCTATGCTGCTCCTACCACGTCTACAATCGTCGCCACCGGACTGTAGCCTGCAGGCCATCCTTCAAGCCTGTGCTGCGGCAGCGCAGTCCGCCAAGGCTCGAAGCCACAGGACATAAGAATTGGGGCCTGCTTCAGGGCGGCGAAGTGGTGGCGACCAGATGATGACCTGGTGAGTATGTTGGCAGTCTCAGTTGTGGCAGTATTAGCGGCAGTAGCAGGAGCAGTAGCAGTAGTCGCCGCAGTCGTCGAAGTTGTGTTTTCGGGCAGCGCCATTAGTTGTAGAAACTGTCGGACTTTGCGGGCACACGCAGGCAGCTTTCGATTTCTTTACCAGTTTCACAATCTGCCATGCTCTCGTCGACAACCGCTGCTGGAACAGCCCATCCTAGCTAACCACTGTGTGTTGGGACCGTGCCTTGCTGCAGGCCAATGAAGTGTTGAACTCCTTGACGAGGCCGCCATGCTTGTCATCTTTCAACAGGGTGATGCTGATGCCGCTTTTCGTCCTTTGCCCCTGCTCATGGTCTTCATGCTGATGCTAGTCTGCGCCGCTTTTCGTCTTTTGCCCCTGCTCATGGTGTTCTCTTCTTCGCATCACCAGGATCACCATCACGGCCGCCTTAGCTCCAGCATAAGGATCTTCATGTCTTCACCACTACCAACGTCTGGGCCATCATCATCATCATCATCATCATCGTCATCATCCTCATCATCATCCTCGTCATCATCACCGTCATCATCATCATCATCATCATCATCATCATCGCCATCACCATCACCATCATCATCATAATCATCATCATCATCAGCAGCAGCAGCATCCACATCATCATCATCATCCTCAACATCATCATCGTCATCCTCTCTACTTTGAGCAGTTACTATCGACGTCATCAGCATCTCGTACACCCACTTACATGACAGAGCCAGCTTTTTGGATGTTAGCCAGTCTCGTCTGACATTGGCAACAAGGCATTCAGCAGCATCATGACACCTGGTCGAGCTGTTGCCGCAGGCCCTCTCCGACGCATTTCGATCTCGTAGTGGAAGCTTGTGGCAAAGCTCCTCGGGAAGCATCGAGCAAGGAGGGATCACGAGCATAGTCTACCTTCTACTTTCGCTAGAAGAAGGCCAGATGGCATAGCATGATCAACTACGCTGCTGTGGGTGGTTTACGTGCCGCAGGCCGAATGGACCCGTATCGTACGGAACGCCTCCCGAAGACAGAACTTTGGAAAGCAGCTCTGTGCCGCAGTACCCAGGCCGAAGACTGGGAGGGTGCTGTGGCACTGCTTTCGTTCATGCGGAAGGCCGGTACAAGTATAGCCAGTTGTAGCTGATACAGTGGGTGCGTTGCAAGCAGCCAAGCATGCTGCACATGGGCTGCGAAGATCGACAGGGTTCATGCAGGTGTGAGGTGGCTGCCTTCGCTGTATCTGCTGGAAATATGAATGCTGTGAAACATGAGCCTCGCTTGCGACCACAACATTCACCGCTTGAATGTTACATGGAAACCCTAGACAGGCCCAGCTGCAGACCAGTGCAAGCGGACCAGCACTTAGCCTGCACGTTTTGGACACATCGTGTCTTCCCGCTCTGCCCCTTTTTGGATCAGCTGATTCGTGACTTCTGGGTTTAAGCTACTCGTAGGTAGGGGCTAAAAACCCAGAGCTGCCTGGAGCTGGCATCTCGTCATCATGCTCTCGGGTCAGGGGTCCTTAAATTCGCTCGACGCCTCTTTGGGCAGCCAGGGCTCAGGGCTGGTGCGGCATTGCCCTTAGGTTGAATAGGCCCCATCTGCCCATGAACTTGGCCGTACAGCCATGCTCTCAACATGACCTTCAATTGAGAATTAAGAGGCCCAAAATGACATAGAAGAGAATGAGTAGCATCCTTTTGGCCTTAAGGTAAGGACCCTGGGTAAGGCCTCACCATCCTCAAGTCTTCTGAAAGCCTCATTTAAGGCCTCATCGCAGCCGCCCAAGCATCGACGGCTGGGGCAGCTTGCGAGGCGCCCTTACTCTACTCGACTCTACTACACTGTACTACCACAATACCATACTGTACTATACCATACTGCACTATAGTATAGTATGGTGCACAAAACTGTGGTGTAGTATACTATACTACGCTCGTCTATATCATAGTACGGTATGGTATAGCAGAGCATAGTATAGCATTGTATTTCAGAAGGCGTGTGTCCGGCTTGTTCACCCCGGCTTTCTGCAGCAGCATTGGAGTTAGGGTCAAGGCTTCTTCCGAACATGCCATGCTGCAATGCTCACTGGGATAAAGGTGCTTCACGAGCTTCGCGACTATTTTGGAGCTGGCATGAACGTGGAGAAGGTGTGCCTGCCGCTTCTAGACTGGCACCTTTGTACATCCAACACCCTAGGCTCGAGTGCAAATCCTGAAATGCATGTCGAAACTTGTGCTGCAACTGCCTGTCATGCTCGCAAACACCGTCCATGTGTTTCAACGTGTCCTGAAGGAAGCTGCACTTGGCCCTGCAGGAAGATGCCGGCAGCGAGATGGTTGCGGCAGTTGAGCTCCTGCAGGCGGGTCCATATTCCCGATGACGCAAGCTTCTGCAACAGCCGAACAACAGCTTAGATCGAAAGTGGTTGACACCTGCAGCTTGTTACCGAATAGAGCACGCAAAGACCTGAAGATGCTAGACTCGACCTTGGAGTTCTCTGGTTCCTGACTTGGTCGGTTCCCGCTTCCAGGACCGGGACCATCTAGATGCCCGCAGCGCAGGTGGCACATTCATGATGGCTTTGATTCGATGATGTGCCTTCATTGAGCTAAAGTCTAACGGAGCATCACGGGACCCGGCCGTTGAAAAGGCACGGTTGCAGTGTTTGAATTTGGTGCTTTGACGGTAGCCAGTTGTGGTGTTGGAGTCTCGGGGTTTTGGTGAGGCATTAGTACTTGGAACTCTCGTTTCAAGATGGTTCAACATGGCTTTGCTGCTTCGATGGTGCGATTGTGATTCAGGCTGCTGGCTCCGCACTAGCTACAGACTGGTCGCCGGCCTCCCCAGCACGGTCCTATCCTTTGCAGCACTGCCACTACTACTACGACGACTACTACGACTACTACTACTACTACTACTACTACTACGACTACTACTACTACTACTACTACTACTACTACTACTGCGGCTGCTACTACTACTACTACTACTACTACTACTACTGCCAGT